TTGTCAGGACGTGTTATTAGTAAATCTTTATTGTCTCTTAATTCTTTGAGTTGTTTTCTATGTTCTTTTGTCAGTAGACGTCGGGCTTGAGATTTTAGGCTGAGATATTGATTACAGCAATCGAAGATTGTTGACTTAAAGTGTAGAAAATCTGCGTCAGAAACTGGAGTAATATCATGAGTTTGGCTTATGAGGTTCTCGAATTGAATATACGTATGAAGTCTTTTGCTGTTAAGATTAACATCACAGAATTTTAGTCCAAGAGATAAAGCTTCTAGTTGTACCTTTGATAACGGAACTGAAGAGTGATTGAAAACAAATTTATTAGGATCGCTGGGGAATTTATTCTGGACTTCCATGGGCTTCAGGCTTTTGTTTAGATCCGATTTAACATATTCCGCTCTTCTGTTCTGCACCAGAGTAAGGTATTCATCGAACGATTGTCTCTCATCTGAAGATAATTCACAAAGAGCGGTAGATCGCTGTGATATGTTTCTTTGCAATTCAAAAATACGTGAACTTTTCGAATCGATGACGTTTCTGGTGTGACGTTGAAGAGTTTTTGAATTAAGATATATATGATGTCTCCGCAGCGCTTTCCAGAACCATTTTGGATATTCACGATTAGGAATACAGCTCTCGAAAAATACCAGTTTTGCATTAACTTCGGCAAGTTTGACAGAGTAACGTAGAAACCCGTTCAGTTCCTTCACTGTCGAAGGGTCCTTGCTCTTTTTAAGTTCTTGGAAAATACCCATATAGACATTAGAAAGAAGAGAACACGAAGTTCAGCATAGATATATTTTCGGCGATTTCATTACTGCTTTCTCTTAGTTGTTGAACACAAACGGAAATAAGATTAGTCTATTAGTTCAGGAAGCGGGAAAAACAGTTAAGTTAGACGGGTCACAAGTGATTAAGTTATATATGTCCAAACTAATTTCACTTTTATTAGTTTGAGAAAACTTGGGCATTGGTTGTATGCTATTCACTGTTATAAAGGTTTTTGCATTTCCCAATGAATGAAAAAAATAACGATATTGTTTTTACTGATGTTTCGTTATTCAGTGCAACTGATAGCCTTATCAAAATATTATTAAACTAGAATTAACAAACTCTCAGTTTATATATAACAACTTAATCATCGTTCCTAAACATGAAGTCAGTTTTCATTGTCAAATTGGCCAATTGGTAAAGATAACAAAACCAGGTGTAGATTGTTAGATTTGATAAGTGTGTACAATACGAAAGCAGAGTGGGTTTACATAATGAAATTGCTTACCACATTCGTGTTGATTGTGTCACTTCATGGGAGAAGGAGGTGTTGTAATTAAGTCGAATTCTGTTTTAGTACATCATTCCTATTCCATTTGCTATGAAGCGCTTCTGATACTAGACGTTCTTTGTCACTTCTGAAACTTTCCTGGATTATTTCAATATTGTCAAAGTCAGTTTTGTGGTCTGGTACTATAGCGTGTAGACAGGTTATGGCTGGTGATTTTTCAAGTTTTCCTAGTTCAACTGGATTTATTTCTCGGTGGTCGAACAGATGCTCTACGGTGTTCATTTCTTCTGATCTTGATTTCTTGTGATGTATGTCCGATGTATATCACATCACATTTCAAGCATTTTATTTTGTAGACACGATTAGATAGAGATTCCTTAGGAATTCAGTCTTTTACATGGAAAAGGTTACTTTGTAACGCGTCTGATGTTTTGAAGACTACTCTGGTGTTGTTCTTATCGAATACTCTTCAGATATTGTCTGACGTCTTTGCTCTATATGGAATGACAACTGTTGAGGTCCATGTTTTCGAAGTACATTTTCGACCATAGTGAATGTCAGTAGTGATTTTTTTAATGAAGTTGTTTGGGTAGTTATTTTTAGTAAACTCCCCAAAGATGACTGGTTCACGAGTAAAAATTTGATGAATGAATATTATAAAAAGTAGTACTAACTATAGTGACAATATTAAATATAAAAACAACAAGGTGAGCAAAGAGGTAGAAAAGAGGCTTAATTTCTTCCATTACAAGTGCTTCTCTTGTGGAAAGCAAAAGAAAGCCTTTTAGTGTTTTAGTCAGACAGTTTAAATACCTGTATGGGATTAGCTGATGAAGCGTTTTTCATTGGAAACCATGCAGAAACCATTTTACCAATAATGCCATTTATAATTTCCAGTAGCGGACTAGCCTACAAGAGTTTTCTAGTTTCAACCCTTTGAAAGTGATACTCAGTGATTGAGTGATCGGGAAGACTTTCACAGTGTCTGTGACTATCATCTGCCTAACAGTTCTTTGACTGCACCTCGTCTGAGTGTCCTGCTTGTTAAAGCAATTGATAGAAATTTCTCTGAGAATACTGCACATACTGATAATTTGAAATGTTTGTAGAATGCCTAGTCTTAGATAGAACTGCACAGTGGATGCATCTGATAAACAAGATTATTTGGGCCACAGTGTATGACTACCACGATAGCATAAATGACTTTAGATGAATTTGACCGTTAAACAGCAAATATCAGCAACTAATATGAGTAGTTAATACTGAAAGTGCAGTTAATTTGCGATTAAACCTCAATTATAAAGCTATTGAAACAAACTATCTTCATTCAAACTGTTCATTAAATATTTAACAATGATAACTCATGTACTTCGAAATAACTCTTAAGAATTTAGCCACATTCATGTTCCATAAAAATAGAACATTGCGCCTTTACCTTCCCCGTCTAATCATTTATGGTGAAGTTGTACAATCATTAAATCAGATTATTTGGTATTCACTTAGAAGGCATCAGGCAAAAGGAAGCCGGATAGAATTTAATTTATTGCTAAGGAATCTTCCCATCTTGTTGGAAGCAGTCATTTTGTTAAAATTTATTTGCATTTTGCTCATTTGATTCCCTTGATAATTCTGAATAATTCAAAAATGTTAAGCGTAACTGCAGACAGAGTGAAACTATAAAAAAATTATTAAGGAAAAGCTAATGAATCAACAAAGTATTTTGATTATTGCTAATGAAGCATCAGTTAACGACATTTCTGTTTGCTACAGGCAAAACTTTGAATGGAAACATCCATCTCAAAATGGCAAATGAAATAAATTTAGGATATACACTAGTCATTAAAGGAAAGATATATAACCATACAGTTCAGATTAAAAAGGTATACTGAGAGCGCATAAAGAGGAAGGCCTCTGGAAGCAAGAAGATATACCGAGAACAAAACCTTTTACTGACTTGCATAAACTGGTTGCAAAAAGTAGTTTTATAATCGTCTAGTGTTATGTTCTACAAGTGAATTCATTCCTAAGCCAGATAGTAGTTTGTTTTCTTCTTTCAGCCTGTGATGTCTGTGTCAGAAAACATATATTCCGTAAACACAACACGTAGATACAATATCAGTGAACCTGTGTAAAACATTTCTCTCCTGAAAACCTTTTCTTAGCTCCTGCATAATTAGTAGGAAACCATTCAACTGAAGGAGTAGTGTTTCCCAGTCAGAGCAAAATGATCTAAACACCGAACGATTATTCTGATCGCTTCGAATGGACTTCATCAACTGACTTGATTGTTTGAGTTGGGTCATTCAAGTTATACCTCCAATTGTTTCTGTTTAGTTCCAAGAGAAACACAGAACTTCAGCGGCACGTCTCCATTGCATTCAGTTCTCCGCCAACATTGAACCCGGCTCCACGTCTGCCCACATACTTTCATCTCCTCTTCACATCACCTCCTCCATGTCACCATTGCACTGACAACCAACTCGCCGCTTCCACTCGAGCGATGGCCTGGCGTGTGATGTCACTCACTTGATGGCTTTCTCAGAGTATGGCCACAATCCAATCCACCTCCATTTCTTCCTGCATATTTGTTGCACAATCGGTTCCTGCTCGGTTGATTCGTTCATTGCCAGATGTCCTTCACTGTTGCTGATCTTTTCTGGCCGGCTATCTGATCTTGAGTGTTGAGTGAAGACAGCAGTCGATGAAGCTCTGTATTTTGTTCGAAGAGCCCTTCGTGACACGCCAAGTCTCTGATCCGTGTAATAGCACTGACTTCACATTGGAGATGAAAATTCGGATCTTATTTTTCATCCTGAGTGCTGTTGGTCGCCCACACCGACTTGAGAATAATGAAAGTTAATGATTTCGGCCTCAAATGAGCGAAACCTCAATACGCAGTTTGCACCACTTCAATCTGCCTAACAAGCTCTACACTTTGACGTGTATAGTTTCTAGCTGTTTCGCTTGCTTTCTTGATTGCTATTTCCAATATTATGCAAGTCACATATTTCGGTATGAACATTCTGATTTCCGAATGAAAACCATAGTAAATTGTCATCTTTAATTATATAATTTACAAACTGTGGGTTTGGTTCTTCTCTTCTATCACCGAAAATGAAGTGAACTTATCGTTTCTACACCGCGTTGTGAACTAATGATGGTATGGAAATTTGTTCACGTAACTATTCACCTAATGGTTAGCATTGAATAAAACCAGGAAATGTGATATACAGTAGCGAATTTGAAAAGAAATTAAGCATCAACATATTTTAAGAAAACCATCTTTTCTTTATTCAAAGTGGTAGACTAATTCAGTAGATTACATTGGTTACAACCAGTGCGAAGGGAAGCATAACAATCTTCACTGGTGAAATAGGATTTTCTATGCGTGAAATCAAACGGTCACTGGGATAAACAACTTGCTTACCACTAGACAAAAATTAGAATAGAATGAATGGATGAATGAATGAAGCATTAGGGGATTATTGTGAATTCTTAAGAATTTCGTTTTTTTTTAAAAAAAAAGTAAAGCCATTATAAAAATTAACAATGATAGATCACGAAAACGAAAAAAAAACCTACACCAATCACAATCAAGTGAATGGGATATTTACTGTCCAACTTATAGCAAAGTGATGTTAGTGTGTGTGAGTCGAAGAATGAATTGAGTTTGTCTAGTCTGCCTTAGAATTCATTTATCGACTTTTTGAGAATATTTCTGTTGATTTTTTTCTCCTCTTTATCTCTCTCCAATTTTTTGTAACAGGAATATAGATTTTTTGCTGCGTATTCATCTACTTGTAATATCGTAGCATTAAATAAAATATTAAGGCGTTTACTTCAATTTTCGTTTCTGTCTGAACCTTTCCCACTGATCCATACAGACACTGTTATCTCATGAAATACGCTTGAAATATAAATGGAAAATACATATATGCCTGATAATACTTTGAACCAAAAGCATGAGAATTTATCAACTGTCTTATCAGATTTATCCGTCTTCAGACTCTTTTGATCAGGCTATTTTCGATTATTACTTTTCTAAATACTACACTTAGGACTAACAAAAAAGCCTGTGAATCCCACGGAACAAACGCCTACAGTTTACGTTTCCAGCAGATGATGGAGCTGAACCAGAAAACCAAACTGGCTCATGTTGATTTATTTCACTTTTCTTTTGTTTGAATGACCTAGTAGGATAAAGACTACATCTTTCTACTAAGATGTGTAAAAAATCGATCATGTGTTTCAGAACTGACCTGAGGGGGATCTTTTTACCTGCACTAGACAAAATTACCTCACATAACACACAGCGATGCAGTTTGAATGACTGATATAATTATGAACAATAAATCGTGCCCAAAACGTTATCCACTTATCAGTATTGTAACACTGTTATATCGAATAAACTTATCTAATATAGAATTATACCCTACCACAGAGCTCAAATACTGCCGTTACATTTAGAATCTTTTGTCCTCTGTACGACCATGAAAGTAAATGTTCGATGATACTGTTAAAAATCAAACTGTGAATACGGCAGATATATCCAGGTCCACAACAGTAGGCGGGAATGTTTTGGCTACTTACACGTTGCAAATAATGCCGTATCACTCAGGATGTATTATATCAAATACAATCATGGAGCTACATTTCCACCAGTAGGTTTTGCACTTAGTTACATAACTTTATTGATAAAAATGATATTGTTAAGCAGGTTTTACTGCCTAAATAGCTCGTTATGAGTAGAGTTGGGGCAAACAAAACATACTTCCTTGATCACTTTCCTCATTCATTAGAATAATGCTGGAGAATATTCATCTTCACTTCTTGTCATCCATAGACTTTCCTGTAAACAATTTACAAAATATTAGGAAAAGCTAATATGCTTACTTTGATCTGCTGATTCAACAGTAGTCAGAATCGACAATAACAGTAAATCTTGATACAAAAACGTTCGATGCTATGTTTGGGTGACCCTGGACGCAGGTTTAATACTTATTGCCACTTATCTGTTAGGCGTATCTGAAATCTTGATGGAACTTATGTCCCACTGTTTATTTGAATAAGTCTATACCAGCTAACCTTCTTCCTCTCTAAGTTACACAATCGAAGTCATCTGTTTTACTGAATAGAAACTGATGGGTGATAGTAGATCATATTGTCTTTTGTCATCCTCAATTGAAAGACTTCAGGAAGCTCTCCATTGTGAATTATTTGACGTGCGGCACTATCGCACAGTTGCTGAATGAGGGCTATAAATGTTGTATCAGCTGACAAACTACTGCACGGTTGACGCTATCGAAGGCCTTCCTGAAATCAACGGAGTTGAGGTATACAGTTGACTGACATGCTATGTTCTCTCCGGTGAGGATTTATAATATTACAACTTCATTCGTGCATGATTTATTTCTCCTGAATCCGGAGTGTTCTAGGTAAGGTTTCTTTATCTAGAGCATATTTTGGTCTCTTCAAGATGGTGTGGCTTGATATTTTGCTGTGGGCGGATAAGGGTATGGTGCCTCGCTACATGTTTCTTAGGCTTAACTTGATTTTTAGGAAGTTTGATAAGGTAGTCTTTCCTTTAATCAGGAATTCGCTACAAAACAAACTTTATTCATCTCAGAGAACTGGTATTTCCTCGGAAGAGAAGTGAAATACAATCAACAGAATTCAAATTACCACATGAATTCATGTTTGATGACCTTTCAATGGAAATTCAGACACAAAATTGGTTGGGTTGCTGAAAACTGAATGAAATCAGCGCCAGTGATTTGTAACATAATTAAGGGATGCTAATTGTGAATATTTTACTAAACTAATATAGATTTCATCAGTTTCTGAGTACCATTTTACAGGAGGGTACAGGTGAGGGAAATCATTTCATCAGTCATGGTGAATATATACTATCACAAATTAATGCACTAATTTCACCATAAAGTCTAGCACTGGTCTTCTCCAATCTTTTTAACTGGGGATTCATCCTGAAGTCAGTTTCCAGATAGCATGAGAACCTGTAATGATTTCTTCATGAAGTGACATCGGTTAGAGGACTATGGGGAAATCTAAGAGTAATGGACAACTGTCTCGTCCTAGTTTGGGAGTCTTCACAGTTTGCACCCATGAAGGTTCAAACCCAGGACCTTCTAATTACACGACGAGCTGGAAGATCATTAAGCCACCGCAACCCGATCAAGTGGTCCATGAAGTCCAACTTCTGGCGATTCGCGATATGGTGCGACCACTAGCGAATGTCGTCGGCGAGTATTTGTCCTCACATTCAACCTGCTATACCCTACTGGTTATGACTTCCTACTAGAACCCAGGTAACCACTTACCTTAATATGTATACATATATATGCTAATCAGATGGCTGATCGATAAAGGTTTGAAAATCAGAATGATAAATGAAATCTGATTCTTTTTATATTAATTATCCTTTTTGATATAACTGCTTAATATCGTGTCACAGGTTCATTCTAAAAAATACAATAAATCACAAATGAGGTTTTATCTAGAGTAATCATTTTGTATCAAATAGTATCACATACTTGTAAATGGTTAAGTGGATCTGGAAATGATGGTGTATAGGACGTTGAATTTTTTGATGGTTTAACTTTCATTGACATACTGGTCAACTTTAGGGCTAATTCAGAGGAAATTAGAAAATTCGTTTCCTTTTGAGAATTTGTTTCGCATTCGAAAGAGGTGAACGAGTGCAGTAGACTAAATTTTTAGAAGATTTTATTCATAAAATTTATAGCCATAATTTTATACTTTTGTGCTTCAGGATACAGTTAATTTTTAATAAAGTACTCAGTTAAGAGCGAGATAACACTGAATTTTAGTGGTGTGAATTGATCCGACTGCCTAATCTGACTCAAGAGTAGTTTACCAGTGAAGAGCTCAGTCCTAAAAGAGAGTTTAGATCACCATGACCTAAAAGTCAAGACTAAATGGTTGATGTGAATGCTCTTTAAATACTGAAATTAATTAGTAGTATGCATCTTGTTGTACTTACCACTCTCCAGTTATTTAGTAGGGAAGTTAACATCAGTCCAAAGTGCACCGTGTTATTGAGTCATCGAGTTTGGTGACCACGTTGCAAACTTTACCGATAGAATTCATTCAGCAACTATACTAAGGACTAGACACGTAATATTAATTTTCCACAAGTAACGAGTCAGTGTAAGAATGTAGAAATCCTCAGTCATTTTGTACATAATTATTAACAAGAAATGGTGTTCTGGAATTAAAACTAACAGCGCTGATTAGTGCAGGTTGTAACGTCAGGTGGCTCATTAGTCCCTTAGAGGCTACAGATATGCCGTCTGACGAGTGCCACCAACCATTTTACATCGAAAGTTAACTGAATGTGCATTCAGGTACGTTAAAGTGTCTGTGTATTTCCTCTATGCTCTCTGGTTTATTTTCAGGTCTGATGATGACAATCAGTAACCGACACTGGTGTGATTTCGACAGTATGATTGACAGTTTCCAGGAATAATACTTCCATACACTTCCTTACCAGAAACAATTTATTCCTATTGTCTCTGTTTCACCAGGGAATTAAATAAATCCTCCATACAATTAAATAAAACTCTAGAAGCATTTAGAAGAAACTAACAAACTTAATTTTAAACATAAAATAAGGATTCAAAGTCAAGTCATGAGGAAAAAGGTGATCCCTTCCACCAGTCATATACCTGTAATAAATAATTTTGAAAATGTTGGTAAAAATGGTGAGCAAGAGATTGGTGAAACACAGTTATTTAGCAATTAGAAACAAAGGCAGCAATGAATTTCCCACTCATTCTAGTCTCAATGCAACTAACCCGAAATTTTATTGACGCTATCTGCTGAAATATTAATGTCACTAAAGATAATAAAGTCAACTTTCCAGCAGTTGAATTTATTTTAACCATGGATAAGATAGATTTCTTCTCAGTTCATTTAGTTTTCTAGTTAATTTATACGGTGGTCAAATAATGACTTATCACTTGTTGAACTTTAAGCCATTTTGAGTTAGATCAAATGTCTTCAAGCTGACACACGATAATTTCAAGCATATGTCGGGGTACAGCATAAGCCCTCTGCTTCGTTACTTATTATTTGTTACACATCCAAATGTACACATTACCTGGATGTCAGTGGAAGCGCTAGATAAGAAATAAAATAATAATATGTGGTTCTTATACATTCATCAGAAACAGACTTTTATAATCGGTATGTTTCTCAAGTATATCATAATAAAACAATATTTTTGACGAGGAAACGTCTTAAAAACAATTTTCAAACGGAACATAGGGTTTTAACAGCAGATTTCAATTTTGTTCTCTTCACCGCATTCCTATTGAGGCGGCTTCACGATTTCCCATAAGCTTTTATCTCCTCCTTACATGATCTTCGGCGTGTTACCCTTGGACACAGGCACAAGTCGGCGTTTCCCATTCGGTTTCCACTGAAACATGGCCTAGCGAGCGACACCATTCGACGGTTTCCTCAGTGTGTCTGATTCATCTCCATTTTCTTCGAACTACTTGTTAAGCAATAGGTTTTCTGTTGGTTTATTACCGTAGTCTTTTGTTGCCAATTCATTTTGGTCATATATGATCCTCAATATGGAGCGAACTGTCGGAAATGCTTCTCGTAAACCACAGGTCACGTTTTCTACCCATACAGAAGCACAGAGTGATTAGACACTGGTGTTGAAAATCCAAATCTTGTTCTTTATGCAGAGGCAGAGTGCAGAAGGTCTCCACACTGACTGCAGAGTAATGAAGGTCTTCCTTGCCTTTAAGATTATGGTTTTGACACTCACTGTCATCCATTTGGCGCACCTGTGGTTGAGACGATGGTGCCTTCATAAGTGAAAGAAGTGACTACTTTTTAATTTATTACATTGACAGCCATCAGTGCTTGCTGCAATTGGTTAGCAATCTTCACCATCTCTGTCTGCCCTTTGGTTATACTTGAAATCCTGTCTTGTGTGCCTGTCTCTTTTGTCAGTTTGTTGGTTTTCGCCTATAAATCTTAGATTTTATATGGCATTAAACATAACTCACCTGCGAAATCCAGATCTTCTAGAGTCTTCCCAGCGGTCCAACATATTCCTGCCCCCCCCACAGTCTTCCTCATAATCCTGTCCACCACAATTAGGAATGTCATAAGTTATATTAGTCGGACTTGTCTAAATCCCTTCTTTACTTCAGAGACTTCGCAGAGTTTCCCATTGTGGATCACTTGATAAGTTGCATTGTCATATAGCTGTTGAATGAGGTCGATAAACGTCTGGGATACTGCACTCAATAGTGTTGAAGTCGTTCCAAATTACTTCGTGGTCAGCGCTGTTGAAGGCCTTCACAAAGTCGTTGATATTGATGTAGAGTTGCAATTTGACCTGTGTATGAATCTGTATTCCTTAATCCAGCTCGCTCATTATCAAAAGTAATCCATAGTCTTCGAAATCTAGTTCAAGGTTCTGGTTTTCCTAGCGAGTTCATACAACACTAAAGATATTTTTAGATATACATTGAGTTTATACTAAACGGATGAAGTAGGATTAATTCCCCTCAAACTATGAAACCAAATCAGTGCACTCAGAAAAAAGACAACTGTAAGTGTTTAACTGTCACGACAGCTGATTTCTATGATTACAGTT